CAGTAAATATAAACAACGACAGTATTCAGGAAGAAAACCAAACATTGCATATATTTTTAACATAACTCTGGTTTTAGTGACCTATCAACACAATTTAAAAACTGGTATAAAGTCCACACTTTTTCCTTCAATTGTTCACGTTGTCATTAACTTCACTCCACATCAGCCACACCGCTTTGCTTGCTAAAACACCGGTGCACATAAAGACGCTGTCATAGCCTGTCAACGACGTTGATTAGCTGTGTATATACGAATGTGAATCGCATTATTGGCTGGACTATGGGATGGCGGCATCGTTCTAATCCCGTACGGGAGCAGCCAGTCACTCACTGGCTAACACTGCAAAACAGAATTGTTAAAGTATTCATTTTATTTCAATTCAGGTTAGATTTATTTTCTGTGCGCAACGCAGATTTTCTGTGCGCAGAGACCGTGCCAGCAGTGCGCAGGGAACATTGCCTTGGACGATATAGAATGATTAAAATAAAGTTTGTTCAGCTTGCAACTAAATGAAGAAACAACCTGTCGTTTTTATTAGCAGCAACTGTTTGACCTCAGCCCCAGTCAGCAGCTGCTCAGACTTCAAAGGGGGTACGAACCAAGGAGAGAGGAGTGTCCTTCACAGGGTGCGACCAATAGCACTGTGCCTGGTATCACATCGGCATGCATGCACCAGCGCACACACACACTATTAATAGTTAGGTTATCATCACAGTAATTATCTATCACGCAGGTTAGGCAAACACTGTTATGGTGTCAGGCCAGGAACTGGAAGGACAGCGAGGGGTCAGTAGGGCTGGAGAATGTCAGCAATAACACTGATATCTTTGACTCTCACGGCTCTTTCATGCATTTACGTTCTGTATACAGAAAGAAAAATAACCCCCTTTTTTTTGCTTATTGAGACAAATGTTAGTGCCTAAACTGTGCAGAAGGTCATGAGATGACGGCAGTGAACTGATGACCTTTTCATTTATGTACTGATGTGTTGAACTTGACGTTTGCTGTGTATTTTAAAGGATTTGTTTTTGGTTTGGCTTACAGTAATTGCACTTTCTATTCTGAAGGTCAAGCCTTGTCCACTGGTTGACTTTTTCTGTATCTAAGCCCTTTGTCTCTATCAGAGGTAACTTGGGGTTCAGTATCTTGACCACAAATACTTCAAGATGGAGGTTGGAGTGGGCAAGGAACTCACAACTGAC